GATCCCGTGGCAATTGCGACTCACAGCGCGCCAGTACCAAGAAGCCGTGGAAGCACGCTCCCACAAGGCCGCACGCACCGAAGCACAGCTGCTGGCGCATGCCTTCTTCGATGACACCCCCGAAATAAACGTGGAAGGCAGAGCACTCACCGCAAGCTGGCTGCATCGCATCCAGCAAGTGTTCCGCAACGCTCTGGCCCTATGCCAAGCAGTGCATTTGCTGAACACCAAGGCCCTGGACTCAGCCAGACTCTCGCTTCGCACCGTCAGAACTTCTGCATGCCGACCGCCAGATCTGGGGTACTATTATCGACCTAATGCAGCGAAAATGGTCCATGGATGACGCCTTCCATGAACTCACTCATGGCCGCATGGAGATACACTCACTGCTCATGCTCCGCCCCAAAACCGCCAAGCCGCCACCGGCGGCGCAACCCGTCAAGCGAGCCCCCAGACAGCACAAAGCCGAGCCGCCCCGGAAAAAGGGGAAAGGTAAAGGCAAAGGCAAAACCCGCGACAACTGGGCGGCATCGCATCAAGGCAAAGCAATCTGCCGCAGATTCCAAAACGGATCGTGCAAGTCAGATAATGGCCAGTTTGCGCATGTATGCGCAATTAAAGGCTGCCAGCACACGGAGCTTCGCAGCATCCAGCCAATCGCACATGAAACAGTCCGGGGGACGTTCCGGCTGCCTCTCCGGACAGTGCGCTCCTGCCGGCAACACCCAGCATGGCCAATTCTGACCACAACTCACGCCTGCGCGCAAAGCCTGCACTTCCGCACGCAAGAGAGGCACTCGCTTCCTCGCCAGCCGCCTCAACGTGCAACTCCCTCACAAAGCAGGCAGCGTCCGATTCCGCACTCCCGCCTTGCAGCGCGAATGCACCAGAGACGCATACCCTCCAAGGAGGAGGTTTCCTTTTAGACGTATTTGCAAGGATACACGCACCGATCTCGGCGGCCGCCGACAAACACGGCCTTGCACGCTTCGAGGCCTTCGATCTCGATGCCAACGCAGAACACGACATCCTTGACGACGCCTGGTTCGAACTGCTGCTGCGCATTTGCTGGTCAGGCATCGTGAGCGTGTTAACCTGAGCTCCACCGTGTAAAGAGTATAGTAGACTTAAACTCCGCCCCGCCGGTCCAAAAGCCTTACGCGCTCCCGCTTGCATGCAGGGCGTGCCTAACTTGTCTCCCGAAGAAGAATCACGGGTAACACACAGCCGAGAAATTCACAGAAGAGGCAGAGAACTCTTCAATTCAAAGCAGTAGCCACGCAGTGCGGAGTGGCAGCAGCCTCCATCCAGCATGGCGTGGCTAAATTTTCAGTGCTTCGAAAGTCGTCCATTCTTGCCCTCCACCCCAGCAGACTCAAAGTCTGCGACGGAGCAGGCATGCGCTCCACGGCGGGCAGGCTCGCAGCTTGATTCCCAAAAATATTGCTCACGTGGGGTCCGGCAACCCTGAGCCCCCGCTATCAGCTCAAGAATCAGAAGACGCAGCACGCATCGCCTTTCAGGGGTGAACGCTCCAGCCCCGACCTGCATTGCTCCCGACGATGGCCAGCCATACAGGCTGTCATTGCTGCATGCACTGGCCACTGCATCCGACGATCCGGCCATCAAACTCCTTCCCCTGCTCCACAGGGGCCCTTTCCGAATTGCCGCGCAGCATGCAGTGGCCGCCCAAAAAGCACGCGGATTTGCCTATAGCGAACTCACAGAATGCGTGGGAAACTGGAAGGCTGCCGAAGCCGAACCCGAGACAGTGTCCGCTCTATTGGAAAACTAAATTTCCAGCGGGTGGGTCGTCCGCACTACAATGACCATCGAACAGGCCAGGCAGCATTGGCACAAAGGCATTGCAGTAGGCAAGCTCAATGTTGTGCATGCAGAAGGGAAAGAACCGCGCCTGGTCCTGGACAGCACTGTTTGCGGGGTAAACCCCAAGCGCAATTTCCCAGAACGCATCAGCCTACCAATGGCATCCGACGTTCGCCTTGCTTTCCTGCCAGAAGACACGCATGGATCATTTATCGGTGCCAGCTTTGACTTTAAGGCAGCACATAAACAAGTTCAAGTGCACCCTAGCGAGCATGGTTTGCTGCTCTTCCGCTACGCTGACACTCTGTACCAGTACCGAGTTTGCGACTTCGGAGCCCGGTTCTCCGCATACTGGTGGCAACGCACAGGCGCGTTCTCAGACTGTTGCACGGCACACTCTCAGCACACCCGCACAGACCGTGGCTGTTTGTCGACGACCTGCTGGCAGCGTTGCACCGCCCTTGCTCGCATCACCAACTGACGTTGATTGTCATTTTTTCGCAGCTATCTCAGCACCCATATCCTGGAAAAAAGTGCAATTCCAAAACTGCCTAGTTTGGTGTGGATGGTCCATCGATTTCCACCAAGAGACCATCGAACTCACACCGCTAAAGATTCTTAAGCTTAAGGAGCAATTGCATGCCCTGCTCCGATCCAAGAGAATTAAGTAAGAGGAAACTCTTAGAGCAAGTACTGGGGCTGCTCATTTGGGCAACCAGCCTAAGCCTAGAGTTGAGGTCACGGCTTGCGCCATGATACGCAGATCTGCACTCGCCACCAACTCGTATAGGGTGCATGATCTCCGTAAACGCACGCCTGTGGCCTGCCTTCCTCTCAGCATTGAACTCCAAAGCCATCCTGGCATCGCCAGTGCACGGCATCTTCATGCCGCTTGGCTCTAAAGTACTGGAATACCAGCAAATCCCAGTACGCACCCCCTCCGACTTGCCTCGCGTAACAAGACGGCTTGGGTGCGCGTAGCAGACCCCCCTGCTGAGCATACCCGCTTGTCCAAGACAAGCAAAGCCAACGTTGAGTGGCTGCTGCAGTGCTTTCAAGCAGATTTAGCATGCCCACTGAAAAGTAAGCCACTCCTGGCATGCAAAGCAGCCGCAGACGCCTGTGCCGAAGGCACCAAAGTGGGCATAGGCGGCTGGTTCATCTCCAGCCGGTCCGTTTCTTGGGTCGCAGAAACCTGGGACTTCCAAGAAGTCCAGCAGCAATGGCCGTGCCTCTCAAAAGAGGCCCAACGCTATATAGCGTGCTTCGAAACCTTGGCCCAGCTTGCATTCATGCGGGTTGCATGGGCCGCCGAAGGCCAGTCAGTGCACGGCATATGCATGTCCTCAGGCACAGCCTCCGAAGCTGGAGTTAATAAGCTGTTTACCACAGCATGGCCTTTGCAAATCTTTGTGCAGCTAGTTGCCGCATGGGCATACAAGCACAAATGGTCAGTGATGGCCTCGCACATTCCAGGCGAGCACAACGTGTGCGCTGATTAACTCAGCCGCGGGAACACATCCGCTTTTGACAGCAAGCCGCATGCTAGATTTAGGTTTAGCCCGCATGATTTCTGGCCCCATAAATCCGCGCTGTCTTTGCATCCAGCCGACGCACCCTGGCGGCCGGAGCATAAAGCGTGCTTCGCAAACGCACTGAAGAAGGGGCGATAGATTAAGCCGTTTGCTTGGAACCCTGAAGAGGGGGCATCTGAGCAGGCTCCGCATGGGGGTGCAGGCACAGGGAAAGGACACGCATTGTCTTTCCTCCTGCACCCCCGGGCCTGGACTTCCAAGCAACTCCTCATAAAGAAAAAGAACGGAGCGCACCTTTTGTCGATCGTACTCTTTTGTCTTTTGGTGCATGTTCCCTTACGGCTTGAAGCAGTGATCAAGATTCTAACGTTTGGGGTTTTCCTTTTCCCCTATGTTTTAATCTTGATTGAATCTTCGGACGCGTTGCCGTTTTTCTGCTTCAAGCTTCTTAAGGGTCATGCCTTGAGGGTCTATCCTTTTTTTGCGCCCACCCACCCACCCTTGCATATCTGAGGTGGAAGCATCCAGCACAAGGCTCGCAAGCTTAGCTTAGCTTCTGCATCCAGTCACATGATGTGACAACATGCGTGCACTGATCAGGACAGAACACAGCTGCCCGCCTGGCATCGCATCCCGCATGGGTCTGACAACTCGTGACCTCGCCTCAGGCGTAAGACCTCTAATTGGTCAGATGATTGAGGACGCTTGCCTCATCATCACCTACAAGTTGCACGCGTTGCATCTTGTTGCATTGCACTGTCACCCTTTTGCATTTCACACCCCAAGGGTAACGCACCCTGTGAAAGGTTGAGCACGCGTTGTTAACCTGGGGGGCATTTGAGCAGGCTCCGCATGGGGGTGCAGGCACAGGGAAAGGACACGCATTGTTTTTCCTCCTGCACCCCCGAGCCTGGACTTCCAAGCAACTCCTCATAAAGAAAAAGAACGGAGCGCACCTTTTGTCGGTCGTACTCTTTTGTCTTTAGTGCATGTTCCCTGTGAGGCTTGAAGCAGTGATCAAGATTCTAACCAAGCTGTGTGGCAGAGCCTGGTGTTCTTTCTGTTGAGTCAAGGGTATGTATCGACCTCAGCGGGAAAAAAAACTTCGCAAACCGAGGTCAACGAAAACGAGTTCCTGCGCCACTGTGCGCGCGCAAGTGCCGCGCAAGTGCGGCCCAAGTGCCCAACCGCGGGCAAAGGAATATAGGACAACCCCCATGTGCCCTGATTCGGTGCTGTCCACATTAGATTAATTGAGCTTGGGTCGCTGTAAGTATTTCGCACGAGCAACACGCAAAGTGCAACAAGCAAACAAGTTACGCCCCACCAAAATACAATTGTTCTCTGTCTCGATTTCTCGATTTCTCTTGGCTTGCTTCGTGAGGCAAATGACGACTTGGCTTATTTGCTAATTGACGTCCTCGCACTTCGGCGGCTGGAAGACGCGCACGCTGATTCTCAACGAGAGAAAACAGAGAAAACAAAGGCGTTCAGAGCATGGCGTGAGTGCGCCGGAGGGAGTCAGAGAGTCGGAGAGTGGGAGAGTGGGAGAGATGTCTTGACTCAGAGCTGACAGACGCGAGCATTGGGCATCGAAGGACTCATGCCACTCACAGCTGGGCACAAGCTGCTCTCGCCATGGCTTTTGAATCCGTGAGACCTTTGCCACATGTCCAGCCTATCCAGCCTATCCAGCCTGTCCAGATCAAGCCGCAAGTGCCGCAAGCTCCGTCGCTTCCAGTGAAGTGGAGTGTCGGTCTGGTGGCAGTGGCATCGGCCAAGCCACAGCGCCATTTCCAGCGCTTCCGGGCACGGAAAGCAGAGGCTCCACAGGCTCCACAGGCTCGGGCTGACACTTTGGACGCTTTGACTGTCACAGAGGTGTACAAGTTGCTCAAGGGAGCTCCAAGCCCACAGCACGCATTGCAGCTTGCAGCGCGGTTGCGTCGTGCATCACGAGAGGGCAAGCGAACCCGAGATGGACGATCGCTGGATGCTGAGATCGTTGACGATGCTTTGGATATCTTGCTGGAGAACACCGCCGATACTGAGCACAGCCCAGAGGCGGAGGGCCGGCAACAGGAGAAGCAAAAGTTCGACGCTCATCGCATCGATATCCAGAATGGCGATGCGGAGGAGAAGGAAGAGGAGCAGGAGGAGCAAGAGGAGCGAGAGGAGCAAGAGGAGCAGGAGGAGCAGGAGGAGCAGGAGGAGCAAGAGGAGCGAGAGGAGACGGAGGACAACTCGGGTGGCCGCCAATCTCCGCCAAGGTGGAGCGCTGGCGTGGGGAGTGAAGATAGGGAGACTCATGAGGTGCCGTACGAGCTTTGGGAACAAGCTGCTTGCCATTTAACAATCCGACTTCTGCCGTACGAGTTTCAAGGCAAATCAAGCTTCTTTTTTAGGAGTGAGTATGAGGAAGTTGCACCAGGTTGTTAGCCGGAAGTTCAATGTGGTGGACCGCGCTGCTTGGCAAAGGAAAGCCGAAAGCCCTCGGTCCAAACATCTCTCCTGTCTTCAACGACTCCAGCGAACGGTGAACACACTTGTGAACTTCTGGTGCATTCTTGCAGCTCACGTTGTTCGAACATTGTGCGCGAGTTTTCGTTGCCAAGGTGTGGAAAGCTCCAACATCTGCAAGCTTGCCAAAGGTACCATCGATGCGCGAAGATGCCATGGTTCCAGCAGCTTGGGTCAAGACCGTGAACCTTTGGCACTTCAAAGCTGACATATGCTGACCAAGGAAAGCTCTTGGCTAAGGCTGCCTCACATTGCCGTGAATGGAATGACGAACTGCGCCTTGTTTGGAGGAATGCATGGTGGTTTGAGGATGTTTGAGGCATGCGACCGATGCGCAAGCTGAGGTGGAAAATCTACTCTGCCTCCTGGCAAAGATGTGGGTGTGCACCTATCTCCAACCGCTTGGAACCGCTTGGGTCCGCTTTCCACAAGTCGTCTTATACACTTACGTTCTTACGTCTTAGGATCAACCACCTCATTCGCTGGACCTATGCGGCCAAGGCCTCGTCGGTGCCAGGCCGCACCAACAGCAACTCATTGGCAGGCAATGTACTTTGCTGTTTTATACGTTTATTTCATGATTTATGCGAGTTGCTTGGCAATGGCCGCAAGTTGTAATTCCCCTGACGGATTTGGGGTCAGATAAGCAACATCGGGACTCAGCGCGGATCGCATCGCTCGACAGAGACAGCTGTCACAGACCTTGTGACGGACGGCAGCTCAGAGCCTGAGGCTCCCAGTGACATATCTAGAGAACGTATCTAGATACGTCACACGCCTAGGGCGCGCAGCGCGGCCCTATCGTTTGCGCCGCAAGTGCTTGCGCTCTTACCATGGAGCCACAGGGCGGGATCTTGAGCACGGTTGCAGCGCGGGAGAAAGAGTGGTATGTCTTAGGTGTCGTTCGAAGTAAAGCAATTTGCTTGTTGTTTGTGTTTGCTTATGTTTTGTCATTTTCTTCATTTTTTGATTTCGCTTTTATTGAGTCCTGAGGCATTGACTTCTATTGCGTCAACAACAGATTCGTTCTGGTGGACCTCCCTGGATATCCAGACCCAGAAGAGCTGGCGCATCAGGGTGTGCTAAAGAAATGGGAAGCGCACTGGCAGGAGATGCATTCACGAGGTGAGAGGTGCGAGGCCTTCTCCGCAGGACCTGGTCTTTACCTACCTCCAGATGTGTGCAGATGGCCACTATGACCTGCCCGGTTGCTTGGGTCGGGCGTCACAACCTCCCGCCAATCAGCCAGAGACAATCTGGCACTGCGTTTCAACTGCGCGTCGCGCATCGTCGGTACGCGTCAGCGACTTCTAAGGCGCCTGATGCTGCAACTGCAGCAGACCAAGCGCAGACCTTCCCGAGCATGCCGGATGTTTGTGGATGAACTGCGGGCGAAGGCAGGACACTTCGCTTTGCTCCGACTTTGCAGTTTGCTCCTGTGAATGTTCTGACGCCTTGCCTCAGGATTTGCCTTTGCTCCTGATTCTGACGAAAGATGACCAGTTGAAGAAGCCAAACGAGGACCCACATTAGATGCATGTGCTAGTGCATTTTGCATTTCAGCGCAAGGAGCGAAATTATTACGCTACCCAGATCAAGCCGCTGGCACTGCAAGAAGTGCCATAGCCGACTGTTCCGTGGAATTGCGGGCCAAGCGCCTCCCAGGAAGACCTTGGGATTGGAAGGCCAGCATTTGCACTTCACGGCCAAACATGCATTGGAGATGAGCCGGCGAAGCAAGAAGCATGTGCAGCGCTGGATTCGCCACTTTGGCATTGGCAAGTCATACAAGTTAGTGATTTGAGTTCTTGAAACGAGTGTAACGTTGGATGGGCTTGCTTGTGAGCATATGTGAGTCCACAGTCCGTTTGGCTATCTCCAGTGAGGCACTGCCGTGACCGCCGAGAGCAGGGTCGAAGTGCAGCAGACCCTGCAGGCGGGTTCGACGCTTTTCCGGGAGAACGGCAAGGTGGTCATGACATGCATCTCGTGCTTAGGAGGCCTGGAGGAGTCGGATAATCTGCGAAACTCGCAAAACGCCGGAGCAGATGCGAGAGAAGAAGGCGTGGCAATATGTGGCAATGCAAGCATGTTGTGATTGTGCAATCCTGAGCAAGGAGCTCTGGAAAGCCCGTTACAAGAAGCTCAGGGAAGAGAGAAAACAGAGAAAGAAAGCACTCACCAGTGAGGAGCTATCGGTCGATATCGGTTGATTCAAAGCTGTGTAAAACCAACTTGGGTTAAATCTGGTGGTTACAAAAGCATTTTGCTGCGCAGGATTCGTTCGCTCAGCCTACCAAACAGGCTGTCGAATTTGGTTTTTGTTCTTGTGGCAAGCCGTTTGGTTTGGAATGGTGGTGTTGGCCAGGTTCCAAAGCTGCGGATTCGAGTTCCGAAAGTTGCGTGAGTGCAAAATACTTTTCGTGTTTCGTGCCATTGCTACTGCACAACTGTTCGCAGATCAGCACTGTGCGAAATTGAACGTTGTTTCGCAATGCTGCGCCTGCATACCTTGCTTTTTGGATCCAGGCGGTGATGACACATTTCAAATTTCTATTAATGCCAATCTCGAGAGGGGGGGGGCAGGGCAGGACAAAAAAACATGATTTTTGAACATGGATGCAACCAATCAAAAGATTCAATCACAGCAATCAACTGGCAAACAATTGTTGCACGTAGTGTTGTTTCTCCATGTGAAGTGTGGACAATGCGAGGCGCGCTTGGCATCTTGTTTTCGCGAACGCAATCCAATCTGACACGACAGGTACCAGCTCGGTTGAGGGCTGAGTATTTTGTTTCAGCTGATTCATGTGAGCCAATTTACAACAAGGCCTGGACATCATTCACACCGTATTCCCTCGAGCCCAGCTTGCACGTTTGCTAGTTTGCTGCAAGGTTGCCAGGGTTGTTGGGTCACAGGTGCCCGCCAGCACCCACGTACGAGTTGCAAGCAATCGTCAAGGCGCGCGAACAATGCAAGTGCAAACAACCTCAGAAATAACAACAAGTCCAAGCCAAGTCCAAAAACGATGAGATTGTAAAACGATGTGATTTTGTTGAGGCCACCCAGAAAGCGAATGACGCTATTGGGCTGGCGCAGGACATGGGCGCCGAGGTGTGTGCTGGAATTGGATGATGTTTTCAAATGCCTCATCGTTATACGACGTGTTGTTCGCTTGTTGCTTGCCAGAAAGCAGCGCGACTTGCAAAGCGAGCTGTGGATCATATCGGACAAGCATGCACCTCAGAATTCCATGGTCGCAATTCGGAGTTCAACATGCCAAGGTGAAAGGCTGGTTCACGTACTACGTCCGGGTGCCAAGAGCATCCATCATCTTCGTTTCCAAGCAAATCCTATTCACAAGCTGTGCAATTGTTGGCTGGGTTCTGAGGTTTACCGTGTGTACACCGATTTGCAAGATGAACGAAACTCAGTGTTCACAGCAATCCCATAGATCAAACCGCGCCGCTGTTGGAAATTCAGGACATTCACCAAGCTCGTTTCGACATGGAGCAGGCCTGTGGCACATGGTGGTTTTCGTAGTTTTGTTCCACGCAGGCTGCTCAAAGTGCGTACAGTGAAGCCACTGGCTCGGAAGCAGGCAATTGCGGCAATGCATTTAAAACCGTTTAAAACTGTTGGAATTAGGAGGCTGACACGCAGATTGCAGGAAACCTCCTGTCATGTGCGGCCGACGACTTGCTGCCGTATGACCCTTTGCCCAACATCCATCCGATGGACCCATTTTGATTGCAACACAAGTGACAGTGGCATAGCGATGCGACTGATGTGCCAGGACCATCGCCTCAGCTCCATTCCGTTGGCATTGTGCACAGGCCCTGACAGTTTGTTGCTTGTCGAGGGAAAGAAGCTGACAAATTTCTGTGGGCATGAATCATTGATTCCAGTGGTTGAGTGTGGCTGAGCGTGTTGTCACATGGCAGGTTTGCCGCTCGAAAGACGCAGGCTGGTGAGTTGAAAGCAATCATCGGTTTCGGTTTGTTTCTCCATCGCCAGGCATTCAGATTGGAAACAATTCATCTGACGCGAGAAAACATGAGGATGCAAAAGGAGCAGACATTTCCAGTCGCGTGTGCAACATAGACCGGATCGTGAACCACCCAGGTTGCTGTTCCGAATTGCACAGGATCAAGCAGATTGCCGCATCAAACATATTTTTGCAAGCGTAACGAAATCAAGCGATGGGTTCATTTCAAATGCAATAAATCATGAGTTGCTGCGTTGGAAAAATCAGAGCTTTGTGGAGTTGCACGTTTGCCGGATATAATTGTTGATCGTGCGTTGCTGGTGGCCCTCCATGGAGGCCATGCTCGCGAGTGTGCAAGAGATGCAGATAGTAGACAGAATGACATTAGATAGTCAGCTAGTCAGATAGTCACGAGTTGCATCGAGTTGCATCGAGTTGCATCAAGTTGCATCGAGTTGCATCGAGTTGCATCGAGTTGCATCAAGTTGCATCGAGTTGCATCGAGTTGCATCAAGTTGCATCGAGTTGCATCGAGTTGCATCGAGTTGCATCGTGTTTCTGGTGACAGTTCACGCCTCCGTGCCGAGGCGCGGGATTGAAGGTGGATCGATGGATTTGTTGCCGGCTTGGCTTAGCCTAGCCGCTTAGCGGCTTAGCGGCTTAGCGGCTTAGCGGCTTAGCGGCTTGGAAGTGCCATTTGCAGTTTGTGCAATGCGTAATTTGTTCACAATGCGATCGCTGAGATCAAGATGATGTGCCTTTTCAAGCCCAACACCTACGATCCCAAGGAGTCAAATTTGTGAGTTTGTGGCTGTTGATTCTGGTTGCGACCGAACGTCCGTCACCTGGGTTCAAGCGGATCCCTTTAGCATTTCTGATTTTTTTGCACGGCCAGCTGGCCCAAGTTGGCAACGGAGCCTGGTCTTGGGCCTTTTGATGCGTTTTTGGGGCAGCTTAGGCAGCCCGATGGAACCTGGGAGGCTACTTCGAGGAGCAGAACAATGCGGAATCCCGCCCAGACGGCTCAGGAGATGAGAGCAATTGCGGAACAACCGCCAGGACTTCATGATCACGATCATCGCCCGGGAAGGGGTGCCTGGACATCTGGTATCCAACGGTAACCCTGGAGCTGGACAAGGCCTTTCACACGACACAAAAGGCGACCTACGGCAAGCTGGCTACGGTCTGGGTTTTCAGCATCTTGATGCCGCTTGAGGGCCGACGGCTTTGGCGAGGCGCGGCCGCATGAGGGCTTCCTTCAACACTCGCAAACATACCAACATCGAGTCCTGCGACCAGCAATTATTTGGACAGCCTAAGAGCGTTGACATCCTCTGAAGCAACCACTACGGCGTGGGCTTGGGCCTCAAACATCTGCAACCGCCACGGCGTGATCAGGGACAGGGACACCTACCACAAGGCGAATCGCCTGGTCAATCTCGAGTTTGCTCATCGACTAAAAGTACCATCCGGCGTTTGGTCGCGCACGCCTGCAGGAGGAGAACAACCTTGGCAAGGCCGCGCGTTCCGCCGCGGAGACCAACGCCGGCGACGTCGGCGCGGACCGCCTTCAGAGTCAGGATGACAAGATAAAGCGAGACCCCCACTCAGGATCCTCGTGGGCCCCGTTGTGGATGAAGAAGCATGCGATGACGCACCACTTCATGACCAACCAGCCCTTCGAACCGATCCTGCGGAAAGCTGGCGACTGCCTACGCAGCCTCGCGCAGAAGGAGCCGTGGAACTCACAGAAGCGACGCTCGCTTCTCTTCCGATTTGGAAGTACCACCTGTGGCAACTTCAGATCCTGCGCTGGACTTCATCCTGGGCACGCCCAGGCAGCGCGCGTCAAGACACCTCTCGCACGAGCTCGAGAACCTCCGCCGACGCGCCAGGGCAGCAGAGACTTTTGCCCCGAGCGCGCCGGCCAGACGCGCCTTGCAGCCGTTACCAACGTGGGAACGGAATCGCAACAGAGCAAAGGGAGTGACAGCAGCGATCAGCAAAAGTGTGCTTGTGTTTGCGTCATGTTTGTTGCTTTGGTATTTGCTGACCTGAGGCGACCCAAAAGTTGCGAGTGACAGATCTTTGCCAAAACTGTCCGATGTCATCAGAATGGTGGCGTCAGCCCTGCCTCAAGGAAGGCAAGGAGGCGCAGCAGGGTGTGGACGATGAGCCGGACGGGTAAGAGGAAGAGCTGGGCGACCTTGACGAGTTGCCCGTGCTCGCAGTGGCGGCAGATGGAGAGTGTCAGGAATGACGCAGGGGCAAAAAGGATCAGTATACGGCGCAGCCCGAGAAGTCGATCGCCGGGAAGTCGACGCGCCAGGAGCCACCAGACAGAGGCGCGGTGGCAAAGGCAACCGCAAGGGCAAGTCCAAGGGAGACGGCCGCGACAAAGGTGGCAAGAAAGTTTTCGCAACTTGGCGCAGCCCCGAAGAATATCGAAGTTCGTGATGCCAGTCAATGTTGCGAAACTTGTGGAGTTTTCTCATGACAGTTGATGCTGCTTGCTAGCGATCCTGTTGCGGCGCAAGTCCCAGTTTTGGGCGCCAACCTGTTGGATGCCCTTTTGTGGCCACAGCCCTAGATTTTCTTCACACAGGCGCGCATGTTCCGGGACGACGTCGCCGAACGGAGATGGAGCTCTATAGTGCGTCACATTCTCAAGTTCTACAGGCGCGCGCAGAACCTTGGGGATGGCAGCAAGACAACACCACAAGATCTGCACCGACATGCTCCTCAACAACCAGATCAAGACGCAGGCAGCCCGCAGCGTCCGACCAAGAGAGGAACGGCCCTACGGAAGGCTGGAGCCTGGATGGCTTCCGCTTGCTCCACCACGCTTGCAGAGCAGATCGTCCTTGGCGGGGCGCAGGACGCATGGCGCTCGCTGAGCTACAGGATCACGACCAACGCATGTCCATTCCGGCGACACGAGCAAGATGCGCTGGAAGGACTTCCCGCGTCTACAGACAAGATGGCGGCCGCGTGGCCATCAAGAACCGGACAAGACGTGGAGCCCCCTCTGGTAAGCACCGACCAAGAGCGTTGTCCTGGAGGCGGAGAATCTTCCCAATGAATCCGTCAAGACAATTAGAGAGCCCCGCGGTAACAAACAACTTTCACGGCAATTCCCATTTCACGGCAATTAGTGGCTTCTTAATTGACTCGCGAAATAAACTTTTCACGGCAACGGCAACGGCGAAAACAAGCGGCAACAAAAACGGCAACGGCAACGGCAATCTTGGAAGTAATTCCTGCGAAAAAACGGCGCTGCAGCTAATTCCGCGGCAGTTTGGCTGCGAAACTATTGCGCTGGAGAAAATTTCGCAGTAGTTTGGAAGTAACTACTTCGAAACTACTGCACCTTGGCAAACATCCACGGCAACAGCCACGGCCATTTCCCCGTTAAAAATTAACATTGCGCGGCAACGGCAACGGCAACGGTAAAAACAACTGCCCGCGGAAAAATTAACCTTCACGGCAATTGTCTTTCCCCCGCTAATTGTCTTGACGGATTCACAGGGTTTCAGCGCCAGGGCAGCAGCGAGCGCGCCGGCCAAGCGATGCGTTTCCCTGCGTTTCGATCGCCGCCGCCGATCTATCAACCCTTCAGGGGCAACCCAAAGCCAACGCTGCAACTCCCAAAGCCAACCTCCGCGCTCAGCGGAAGCAGCGCGGCTTCAAGTACAGTTCCGCCTCAGGCGGTGCGGCGGCCTCGAGGAAGGCAAGGAGGCGCAGCAGGGCAGGGCGCGGCGCGGACGACGAGCCGGTGAGAGGAAGAGCTGGGCGATCTTGACAAGTTGCCCGTGCTTGCAGTGGCGGCAGATGGAGAGTGTCAGGGAGGACGCAGGGGCGAAAGGATCAGTGTATGGCGCAGATATACGGTGCAGCCCGAGAAGTCGATCGCCGAGAAGTCGACGCGCCAGGAGCCAACAGAGGCGCGGTGGCAAAGGCAACCACAAGGGCAAGTCCAAGGGAGACGGCCGCGACAAAGGTGGCAAGAAAGTTTTCGCAACTTGGCGCAGCCCGGATTCGACTCGAAGAATATCGAAGTTCGTGATGACAGTCAATGTTGCGACACTTGTGGAGTTTTCTCATGACAGTCGATGCTGCTTGCTAGCGATCCTGTTGCGGAGCAAGTCCCAGTTTTGGGCTGCCCTTTTGTGGCGACAGCCCTAGATTTTCTTCACACAGGCGCGCATGTTCCGGGACGACGTCGCCGAACAGCTGGAGCTCCACAGCGCGTCACATTCTCAAGTTCTACAGGCGCGCGCAGAACCTTGGGGATGGCAGCAAGACTACCACAAGATCTACACCGACACAACCAGATGGAGACCTGAGGCCCGCAGAGCCAAGAAGCCAGCAGCCCAAATGCGGCGCAGCGTCCGACCAAGAGAGGAACGGCTCTACGGAAGGCTGGAGCCTGGGTTCCACTCACTCCACCACGCTCGCAGAGCAGATCGTTTTTGGCGGGGTGGCAGACGCATGGCGCTCGCTGGGCTACAGGATCACGACCAGCGCATGTCCACTCCGGCAACGCTGGAAGGACTTCCCACGTGGCAAGATGCTCACGGAGCTCTCTTTCGCATGAAGGATCACATGGCGCCGCGCGGCGCCAAGCACAGGGTGAGGGGCCTGGGTCATGGGCGCGGGTGAATTGATGAGAAGCCTGGCCAGCACAGCATCACCTCTCCTGACTTTGCGATGGTGTTGGGGATGGCCGGGAGGCGCTGTCGGTTCGAAGCCTAGGCGCCAGTAGAACGATCTGGTTGTCGCAGCAATCGTCTGGGGCTTGGTCAGGATCCTGAATTTCCGGCTCCGCCAAGCCTGCTCATCCGGTTCTTGATGGCCACGGGACCGCCATCTTGTGTGTAGCCCCTTGGCAAGTCCGTTCCTCTTCTCGCCAAGCCTCCAGCTCCTCAATCCGGAAGGAACAGTTGGCGCTGAACAAGGCAACCGACAGCGGCGCACGGCGGCATCTCACATAAAGACTTCTCAGTGCTCCGGATTGCAAAGGTTCGAGGCGAACGCCGCGGGCAGGCGCGCTCACCTGTGCAAGCCACTTCCAGACTGAGCTTTGGCGCAGCGAAGGCACGGCTGCGTCAAACTCAGGTAGCTCAAAATCGCTCACGACGCAGCGATTTCAATGAACCCTCGGTCAGCGAAAAGAGGATACTACTTACGGTGCTTTCACTTCAGGGCCACATCATTGAGTCCCATGGCCCCCTACCAATTTGATGTTTGCGGATGCCTTGGGCGAATGTCTGTAATAGTTTCGCCATGGGCTTGTAAAGCCTTGCGTCCTGCTTGTGAACATTTGAGTGCCGTTTTGCTGAGTTTCGAGGAACATGAAGGTTGGGACAATCTTGGGCACGGCACGTGTCCTTTTGCCAGGACTGGCAATGCCCAAAACCCAGCTGCCGCACAGTCAACTTCAAGAAGAGGTCCTTGTTCGCAAGCTCGGTGTTGTAGTTTCGTCACTGCCTGCGTCGTTTGATTTGTCCACTAGGGCATTGTAGCTATTGCATGGCACAGGCTCACTTGCATCTCGTGCGGCGCGCGAAAACCAGAAGGGTCAAACAGGCTTGCAGCAGCTTGCAACAGTTTGCAGCTTGCGCAGTTCATCGCAACATGTCTTGACGCACGTGATAGGAAGGCAGACAGGCAAAGGCAACATGAGACGCGAGGCCGCTGGATGATTGGCGTGACGGCGAGAAGCACCTTGGGACGCAGTTGCGCGTTCTGCACTGACTGACGAGCCATGTCGAATCCCAACCCTTCATTTGCGCACGTGGCTGAGGGTTAGCGCAGGGCCTTGGACCTGTGAGTTTGGTGCCTAAAATGAGCTTTTGCGGTAGAACTGTGTCATTCATTCTTTCAAGCGCTGTATGATGGAACGTTGAAGGTGCAGCTGCAAGAACGAAGGTGGCGCAATGTATTGCATGCAGCGCGCGCCTGAGCCAGCTATGATTCTTACTGTTGCAGTGTTGCGGCGAATTGAGGTGCAAGCAGCCTTCTCCCGACATGTTCTGGCCCCAGCCCCCACAACTTTCTGAGACGTTTGCCTTCTCATTCAACACGTGTTCGTAAGGAGACGTGCCATCGAGGAGCTGTTCGCCATGCAACCCGGGGCCACAGGTGCCTTCGTCGCATGTTGGCGCAATTTGAGTTGGCGCGAAGGAGGAGAAACAACAGAGAGCTGCCGACGAAGGCTTTGCTTGGCCAGTGGAAAGCATGTTGCTCCGTCGAACATGTTGTTCACTTCGTTTTGAGCTTTTACGGGTTGAGTTGGCAGGCCGGGGCGGAGGGTTGTTTGATCGCCAGGACGTTCGTTTTGTGTAGTGTGACTGCTGCGGGTGCCGTCAGTCAGCGGAGTTCACAGAGTAGGACCCAAATGATCGCAACGCTTGGGACAGCGACGATGAAGAGGTGGATGAGCCGCTGGCTTAATTGAATTTCACAGCTCGCACGATTCTCGTCGGGTTTGTCAAGCAACACCACTGCGTCTCAATCGCAATGTTTAACCACGTCAGAACATCATAGGGTGCCAGCGCAAGAATCAGAAGAACGCGTCAGGGTAGCGCACGCGCTGCCAACGCAGACTTGGCAACCTTGTGTGCCAACGCATGAGGTTTGGAAGACGCAAGAAAGCCGGCCCCGCCATGTCGGATTTTACTTGATGATCGTTTTATCAGAGGTGAAGCGAAGTCGCGGAGGCGGGGCGAGCAAGGTTGCGGCAGCGCTTGCAGCAAGTTCGTTCGGTTCCCGATTCCGGGTTCAGGCTTGCTTTCTTGTCAGGAAACAGGTGAGGTTCAATCACGCTCCCGAGCGCATGGCACTCATCTCTCAGACTTAAAGGATATCAGGTGTCATGGTCAAAGGAAGTTTAGAAGGAACTTCCGTGTTACGGCAACTAATTGAAAGCCAGCTCTCGCTGAGACAGATGAAGAGAAGGAGGAAGCGCGCGAGAAAATATGTGCGCGCGTGTGGTGGGAGTATAGAAAGCTGCAAAAAGCATGGCCCCGTGCGTGAATTGGTGTCTCCGGAGAGCCGAAAGCTAGCCTGCTCGCGGCGCCGCATTCGGAGCGCGTTCGGAGCGCGTTCGGACCATGCTCCGGAGCGCGGGCCCATTGGCACGGCAACGCGGAGGTTTCGCAAGGATTGAATTGCGTGGCAGGCACAGCACTTTCGCAAGGTGAGGTGCAGGTTTCGTGGCAGGCGCAGCACTTTCGCAAGGTCAAGTTTTTCCAAGGCTTGAATTGCGTGGCAGGCGCAGCACTTTCGCAAGGTCAGGCGCAGAGTTCGTGGCAGGCGCAGCACTTTCGCAAGGTCATGTACATATTTCGTGGCAGGCGCTGCACTTTCGCAAGGTTAAGTAAAGATTTCGTGGCAGGCACAGCACTTTCGCAAGGTCAAGCACAGATTTCGTGGCAGGCGCAACACTTTCACGAGGTCATGTACATATTTCGTGGCAGGTGCGGCACTTTCGCAAGGTCAAGTGTAAAATTCGTGGCAGGCGCATCACTTTCGCAAGGTCAAGTACAGAGGTGCAGCACTTTTGCAAGGTCAAGTGCAAAATTCGTGGCAGGCGCAGCACTTTCGCAAGGTCACGCGAAGTCCACTTCCGCAGCTGGACCTGAAAAATCGCAACTTTGAAGTACAAAAGTAGTACGTGAAGTCCACTTTCGGAGCTGGGGCTTGAAAATCGCAACTTTTCAGTCCGAAAGTAGTACGCCCGCGAAGTCAAGATAGAAAGAGATAGAGAAAGAGATAGATAGAGAGAGAGAGAGAGCAAGATAGATAGGTAGATAGATAGAGAAATAAATAGATAGAGAGAGATAGATAGATAGAGAGAGAACGAGGGATAGAGAGACAGAGAGAGGGATAGAGAGATATATAAATAGAAAGAAAAAGAGATAGATAGATAAATAAATAGTTAGATAAACGATAAACAGATAGATAGATAGACAGATAGATAGATAGATAGCGAGATAGATAAATAGATAGAAACAGAGATAGAGAGATACATAGATGGGTAGATAGATAGAGAAATAAATAGATAGATAGATAGGTAGATAAATGTAGATAGATAGATAGATAGATAGATAGATAGGTAGAGAGAATGAGATAGAGAGGTAGATAGAGAGATGGATAGATAAGTAGATCTATAGATAATTAGAAATATAGATAGATAGAGAGATAGAGAGATAGAGAGACGGATAAATACACGTGAGATAACGAGATAGAGATATAGACAGATAGATAGATAGAGAGATAGACAGATAGAGAGAGAGATAGATAGAGAGGTAGAGAGAGGGATGCATAGAGAGATATAGAGATAGATAGATAGAGAGATAGACAGATAGAGAGACAGATAGATAGATAGATAGATAGATAGATACGCGGGAGATAGATGGAGAGATAGATGGATAGATAGATAGATAGAAAGAGATAGAGAAAGAGATAGAGAGATAAGTAGATAGAAAGAAAGAGAGATAGAGAAATAGAAAGATAGAAAGAAAGAGAGATAGAGAGATAGATAGATAGACAGATAGAGAAAGAGAGTGACAGAGATAGAGGGATATAGAGAGATGGATAGATAGAGAGATAGGTAGATATATAGATAGAGAGATAGAGAGATAGATAGAGAAGATAGATAGATAACACGACAGATAAATAGATAGGTAGTTAGGTATAGATAGGTAGAGAAAGATAGATAGACAAGCAAACGAAAGAAATACAGAAAAGACAGATAGAAAGAAAGAAAGAAAGAAAAGACAGATTGAAAGAAGGGAGGAAGGAAGGAAAGAAAGGAAAGAAAGGAAGAAAGGAAGAATGACGGAGAAAAAGAGTCAAGAAAAGAAAGAGAAAGAGAACTATAGTTTTTATATTTTTGAAACTTCCGCCCACCGGCTTCGTCGGCTCTACTGGTAGCGGAGCTGCTGTGCGTCCCGGTTCATGGGCAGGGAGAACCGCGACAAAAAGAGCAGGAGAAAAAAACCTCAGCCGCGGGCCATGGTCCTTGGAGGAGGAAGAGAACAAAGAGGTGGAGCCGCGGCAAGTTACCCAAGCCTGGCAGGAAAGAAAAGTTCGGCTACAAGGCGGACTATCAGCATCTACAGCAGCGTCACCAGTTCGGCAAGATGGCCAACAAGCTCGCAGGAATCAGAGATGTGCGATCTGGCCAGCAAGGAAAGCAATGGGCGAGGCGCGTGTTCGGTCTTGCAGGGAGGTTCGCCTTGAACCACTTTGCGGGGCCGCCCGGAGATGTTCGCGCGCGTGAGGCGCACATGGACGAGATCCTCAAGCGAATGCCTTCAAGCAGAAGCAGCAGTGTAGCAACCCCAGCTCTTGCCACCCACATCCTTCCTGTGACGGATGGAGATGATTTTCTGGAGATGATTTCTTAGGAAAGGAGGTGGAGTTTGGCGAAGAGAGTCAGATCGTGGCGTGATGACGCAGACATGTCAGCGCTACCTGAAAGCTACGGCAGCGATTGTGTGAGAAAGATCATGATGAGAGACGCGCAAGGCAACTCTCACTCTGGAGATGACTGACAACAAGAGCTGGACGCCTTCTATCGGGAGGTAAGAAGATGCCCATCTGTGGCGTCCCAAGACTGAGGCTGGCGTTGGAAATGAAGAGCAGCCTTAGACCAAGTGTGGAGGACTACAACAGTTTGGGGGAGAACGCCTTCAGGAGCGGCGCTTGCGCAGAGTCACCAGCATGGAGATACCAGCATGGAGATACTCGCGCAGAGTTACTAGCACAGAGTAGCTTGCACAGAGTTACCAGCATGGAGATACTTGCGCAGAGTCACCAGCATGGAGATACCAGCGTGGAGATACTTGCGCAGAGTCACCAGCATGGAGATACTTGCGCAGAGTCAGCAGCATGGAGTCACCAGCATAGAGTTACTTGCGCAGAGCCAAGTGCAAAGAGCCAAGCGCGTAGAGCCAAGTGCTCAGAGCAAAGTGCAAAGAGCGAGGTGCAAGGAGCCAAGTGCACAGAGCTAAGTGCACAGAGCCAAGTGCAAAGAGCGAAGTGCATCGAGCCAGGCGCATAGAGCCAAGTGTAGAGGCGGCGTTAGCAGCTGTGTAAGCTAGGTTAAGTACTTAACGCGCGGGAAGGAAAGAGAAAGAGCTCGGTATTAAGAATCTCTTTCTTGGCGGGGGGTGGGGATGTTGCCGGCGATCGGGAATGCGACCCTCTGCGGGGATCGGCGTGGTCGAGGTGCAAAAGCTCGAGGTTTTTTGCGTTTTTGTCGGTGCGCGCGCGACCCAGAGCTCTGCGGGGATCGGCGTGGTCGAGGTGCAAAAACTCGAGGTTTTTTTTCGAAACGACTCTCTGCGGGGGCGTGGTCGAGGTGCAAAAACTCGAGGTTTTTGCTTTTTTTTATTGCGGCGCCCGCGCGGCCCTCTGCGGGGATCGGCGTGAACTTGAGGTTTTTGGCGTTTTTGGCATTCCCGGATGAACCCTCTGCGGAGATCGTGCGTGTCGAAGCGCTCTCGCTGTGGCGCCGTGCGAATTCTTCTTAGTCTCGGCGAACCTTCTGCGGAGATCGTGCGTGTCGAAGTGCTCTCGCTGTGGCGCCGTGCGATTTTGGCCTTTGGAAGTTGTCTCGTGGTTTGCGCGCCTGCTTTCGCAATCCCGCGGTTGCGGGTTCGATTCCCCCTGGTCCGCGGCAGCTCCGGCTTGAAAATCGCAGCTTTTAAGTACAATCGTAGTACGCGGAGCGTGCTCATGCAGCTCCGGCTGGAAAATCGCAACTTTTAAGTACAGACGTAGTAATGTTGACGCTCGATTAGTAAAGGGTACCGGAATAATAGAAAGTTGTTTTCCTTATTATGGTTCACACCCATTGTTTAAGGGGACCAGAATAATAGAAAGTTTTTTGGCCAGGGGGAAAATTCAAAAAAATCCACAAAGCAAATTTATATGTTTTTTGAATAAAAAAACCATCCCCCCAAACAATCACCCAAAATCCATGTTGACCCCAAAATCCAGCCAGCTGAAACTCTGAAATTTGAAAACCATCCCCAGCCCTGAAACTGCAAACTCTTTATTAAACCGTGCTAAAAAATTGCCAAAAAACAATCAGGACAAGGGTACCCCTCACAGACCCCACAGAACCACAATAATGTGATTGTTTTAGGGTACCACAATAATGGCAAGCCCCCAGCCCCCCCTCCCAGAAAATAAACTATCAGTTGCTTTGCTCAAAAGCATTCCCCTTTCAATTGGTGGCCCACTTGCTTAAAAGCATTCCCCTTTCATTTGGTTGCTCAACCACAGAACCCAAAGCCAAACCCCCAGTTGACAAGAAGTGGTTGCAATACTAAAGTAGAATTGCAAAAAGGAAGTGGCTGCAATACTAAAGTAGAATTTCAAAAAAGAAGTGGTTGCAATACTAAAGGAAGTGGCTGCAATACTGAAGTAGAATTGCAAAAAGGAAGTGGCTGCAATACTAAAGTAGAATTGCAAAAAAGAAGTGGCTGCAATACTAAAGGGAGTGGCTGCAAGACTAAAGTAGAATTGCAGAAAGGAAGTGGCTGCAATACTAAAGTAGAACTGCAAAAAGGAAGTGTCTGCAATACTACAGTAGAATTGGGCCCCAAAACCCTCCATTGTTTGGACGTCCCAAAAGTGCACCCCCATTATTTTGGCGCCTCCATTGTTGGGGGGGGGGGCCCTTTATTAATCAAGTGCCAACATTATGCGGATCGTGCTCCCGCAGCCCCAGCTGGAAAATCGCAACTGTTAAGTACAAACGTAGCTCCGGCTGAAAATCGCAACTTTTAAGTACAAAAATAGCACGCGAAGTACATTCCCACAGCAGAGCAACTTGCGCAGAGCAACTTGCACAGAGCACTTGCACAAAGCACTTGCGCAGAGCAACTTGCACAGACCAACTTGCGCAGAGCACATGCGCAAAGCGCTTGCACGGAGCAACTGGCGCAGAGCAACTTGCTCAGAGCACTGGCGCAGCGCAACTTGCACAGAGCACTCGCGTGCAGCAGCTTGCAGAGAGCAACTTGCGCGCAGCAGCCTGGAACAATGCAGCTTGCGCAGACCACTTTCGTGAGAAATCGCGCGGCACAGTTCGTGCAAAGCACATTGCGCCGAGCAGACTTGCGAAAAGTAGCTTGCGTAGAGCCAACTTTCACAGAGCCAAGCTGCGCAGAACCATCTTGCACAGAGCTAAGTTGCGCGAGCGTGCTTTGCAGAAACTGTGGCCGTCGTGTAAGCTTTGCTATTGATTGCTTTTCCTTTTGCTTGTAATTCGTTTCGAGCTTTACCAGGTTTACTATTCTTGTTTTAACGGCTGTAAATATGTGGGATCGAGCACTGCCATGTTTCATCTCGTAGGACGATGAGATGGAGCTCTCATGTAAAAAGGTGTCTCCGCGGCTGGACTGGAAAAAATACTTTCGGGCCAATCGTCCTCGAGTTTGTGCTCAGTATCAGTAGCCATGTGGGCTGTCATTGGACCTGAGAATGAGATCAGCGAGCGCACCGCAAAGGATCGCACTCCTGACATAAACCGGAGTTGCCGGAGGGCGTATAGGCTTACGGCGTGTGTTTTGCGCGGGGCGTGCGAAGGCAGCGTGTCGGAGACAGGTGAGGTTCAGTCACACTCTCGAGCGCATGAGACACTAGGCATTAGCGCTCATCTTGCAGGCGAGTCAAGAGCAAATGCAATTCTTGGTGGATGATTGCAGGTGACAAGCCCTTGCCTTGGAGGCCCTTGGCAAGTCCCACTGAACCTGCTACGTCCCAAAGGCCCAAAGCGTGCAGAGACAAACACAAGGCGCTCGGGCTTGCATTCACAAATTGCATGAGCATTCGACGCGCAGTGCAGCAGGCCGCCCTGGAGCGGTTGAGGCCTGAGCCCGAGTTTGTTATTCGCAGCTCCTTGTGTTGGGTGTTAAATTGACGCCTCAGTGGCCAAACTACGGAGTATAACGGCGTTGAGGGGCGCAGGAAGTGCCTGCTAACAAAGACAGCGGGGCCAAGAAATGACCCTGCTCTCCTTGGCATCAACCATGAACGGTTGAGATCTTGTTTTTCCTTGAGCCAAGTTGTTAGTCCGGGTGAACCTGCGCAGCCTGCGCACACCAACCCAACCCTCAAAGACTCTGACTTGGCGCGGCCCGTCCTGGAGTGACAAACATCGGTGTCGTTCATGTCAACGGTGTTGTTGACCAGAAAGTTCCATAAGTTCTGCGATTATGTTAGATCCCCCAAGGCATCGAAACTAGTGGTTCCACGCACACATACGCGCGCGCGTGCCTGATCAAGGCGCGCGCAGGCACAGGCGCAGGGGCGCGCGCTAAAGGTTCCGGCCGCGGGCTTCAGCCGCGCTGCCGCAGCGCCAGTAACTTGAACCGGATCGAAATTAAACCTGAGTTCTTGATTGGCCACTGTCATAGGTGTAGGTGCACACCGTGCTTCAATTGCCTTGAAGTCTTGTGTTTGCGCGCGCTGGTCTCCAAGGCAGAGGGCGGGTGCATGTCTGCATGTTCACATGGCTTCAAGAATGGCAGTGAAGCGAAGGTGAATTTGATTGGTTTCTGGAGATTTTGCCGGTCACTGAGCCACGCTAATCCAGTATCAATCCATCAGTATTGACACTTGGACTCTCCGGAATAGATCCAGGGCCTAACACATCCAGATCCTCTACCACCACAAGGTATTGGTTCTCTTCGGATAAGATTCCCCTGGCAGTGGGCCTCAAAGAGCGGTCTCTCGCCACCCTTATCCTGACATTGTAGAGGGGGGCGCCTCATGGAGGCCTGTTCAAGTGTAGGCTGATCATCAGGCTTCATTGAAGAGACGCGCAACGTATCGATGACCGCAAGCAGCCGCCATGGCACGACGGAAAAGTCAGCTGGTTTAGAAATGAAGATCGGTGACCTTCACCACCATCGAGGCATCCAAGAGAGGACCACTTCTGAAGAGCAGACGTATCGGAGATGCTCACACGCACAAGGCAGTTTTTTAGAATGACCTCTTGCAAGATCCTGAAGAAAGAGCCAACTATTTCAATAACACGCTGAAGAAGTTCTTCCTGAAGGGCTCGACGAACGTGTAATTATACAGACTTCTCAGTTTCTTCAAGCACAGAAGGCAGAACGCCGAGTTCCTCGTATTCACACCAAAGTTTGAAATTCTCTTGATAAGATTGAAGGCAGCCTGGATGGACTTGATGCCTGTTCACACCGCGCAGTCGCCAGAGGTCATAGATCAGTACAAGATACTGATGCAAGAAGAATGGCCGCGCATCAGCAAGTCTCCGGTGTCAGAGCCACGCCTCCAGATCTGCTGTCCACAGACAATCCAGAAGTACTCAGGCAGTGCCCCAGCGGCGTGCAGACAAGACACAAGAACGCATTTCCCCTCAGCGACAATTGTTAGATCAGCAGAGAGAAAGACTGATCAGTGCAATGCACCTCGCAAGACGCACCACGATCTCTTCATTACGACCAGAACATCCACCCAAGATTCATCCATCCCTTCTACACCCTAGAACAATGAGAGTTTGAAGGCGAAGAAAGTTTCTGGTGGCAACCTCTCAAAAGGAGACTTTTTTGGTTTTGGAGGAGAATGATGCGTTCGTTGCAGGGAAAGTGTCTGGGCGAAATTTCAGATTCAAGAAGAGAAAAGGAAAAGGAAAATCAGGAAGCGAAAAGGGCAGTCACCAACAAGGTGGCTTCAAACCCTTCTCAAAAAGTGGCTCCGGCGGGAAGGCCGATATGGCCAAAGAAAATCAGGCTCCCTACGACCAGACATATTGGGGGAAAGGCAAAGCAACGCAATGTTTGACTTGGCACTCCTGGCGGCCATTCCTAATTTGCTGACAAAAAAACATCAGCGCGCCCTTTGTGTCCGACAAATACTGCTTCACAAAGCCATCTGGCACATCTTTGGTGGCCTGAATATGCAGCTCATTGTCCGTTGCAAGCCAAGACTCATCGATCATTTTTTGACACGCCGGACCCATTTGTGCAATGGCCTCACCTTTCTGAACCTGTCAAACATGTACTCCGGGCGCCACCAATATGTTCCCCTCGCCGAATAGGCACAGTCACTAGAGAACAACGATGGGTCTCCAGACAAATTGCATATCACAGCGTTGCTTTCAGGCAGGTAGTTATCTTCCATGGCTAGACACGAGGACTCTTTGTCTGCCCTTGCTGCAATGCAAAACTTGCAGCCTTGGCTGACCAATGTCGTTTCATCCTACGCTTATCATATTGGCAACACGTTCACCTGCATTGATTCACTGCAACATGCTCAACACAAGGGCAAAGCAATAATAAGCGCACGCTGGCAACAGCACCCAGGTAGGCTCACCTTTTTTTTCCTCTGCGAGTCACTGCTTCCTGCAGGCGTGAGGTTTGAACATTAATGCACTGCACATGCAAGCACAGTCTCAAGTTGGCATTTACAAAGCTCTTGTTTTACCCCAGCAGCCTGCTGCAGCACACAGTGTGTGACTCCACACATTGAGTGCTTTGCCACACTATCAGCAGCACACATCCCCAAGCCCACTTGAATTGTGGAGCATCACGTCCTGTGCTCACTGATGGAATGTCACTCACATCAATTTGTTGAATTGATGCTGGTGCATCTTTGATGCCTGTGAAGGACCCAGTCTCAGGATTCCGAGCCAGCACCAGCTGCATTGTACTCACCTTTGCAAGCACACTATCCGCAGGCTGCTCCAAGCAGGGAACATTCATGAGGAGGTAGCTGATAAAGAACAACAGACTGGTGACATTTGCACAAGCGGTTGCCCTCCACAATGAACAGTCGACTGTTTTGCCTGCGCAGCACACAACATCACAAATGAGCTGCGCCTGGTGCCAAACCATTTCAAAGAGTCACACACTGTGTTGCTTAGTGCATCCGCCCAGAGGCGAATTCCTTGCGGGTAGAGACCATCATGATGTTCACCACACAGCTTGTCCAAAGCAACACATTTCAACTTGCGCTGCATGAGCTCCTTGGTCAGGTTGCCACTCCCTTTCGAAGAACTCAACCATATCTAGATATGAGTGACCTGCTTTCCGATGTTTCCATGCTCTCAAGCATAGGCCAAGCAACGTGTCCGCCAGTCCTTCAGTTCAGGAAACGCTGCAGCCAAAATAGGATGCCATGCCTCAGAAGCCATCCCCTTGTTGCACCCAGCATCTCGGTGCAGAAGCCTCTGAGTTTCTTGGGTCAGATTCCTCCTGCAGCCCGAACCACCAAAAGACCAATGGCCCTCATCATCAATCGGGAAGTTTCCAATGGCAAAGTAGTCAGCCGTCACCCCGTGGCTCACCTTTGGCAGCTACATTCTCCACAACATTGGGTGTGTTCTCCTTGTCCTTCAGCACACTGTTTGTCACTGCTCTTGCCCCTTTGCCCTTCTCTTTTGTGCATCCAACTGATCCTTGGACAAGAGTACCATGGCCGCAGGAAGCTGAGAAAGCTGGACAAGGCCCAGCTTGAGCAAACCCGCACACACACACATTAAAGGCATTGCGCTACATGAAGCAACACAACACGCACATGCACTGTCATGCATTGCCAGCCGCCTGGTGTTCATCTGACTCGCTGACCTTCATCATGCAATGTGCACACCTCGTTGGCACTGTTAATAACTCAGTGTCACAGCCCCGCGCAACACACATACACACTGTCACCAGCATGGTTGAAAGCAGACGATCCAGCACAAGCCAGCCAGCAGGATTGCACTACTGTAACTCTAGCATGTTAGCCCATTGTTTATGACACTGGTAGTTTTGGTACTATTATTATTGAGTCTGAGTTGCTGTGCACAAACAACATGGCCAATGACACTGCCATTGTTGATGACGAACACCAGGAGGCCACATGCCAGGAGGGCACCTTGAGTGAACCCCAAGATGTGATTCCCACAAAAAACGACCACGCTCTTCGACTCCAGACACGGGAGATCTGCGCCCAGTGGTGCTTCAAGAAGTGCTTGCTGACCAGATGCAGATGCCCTTACCAACTGCCGATCGCAAGTTCAAGTTCATCGAAGGTGACTGGTTTGTTCGGATGCCCGTGAGCTACAGCACAACGATGCATAAAAAGGTGTTGTTTTTTATTGCCAGGGCTGGAACTATTACTTTGGCTGTGCGAAATCGTGTTATTTGGTGCACTGCGTGCGGCTTAGCGCGCCATTGTGGCCCTCAGTGTTCATGTGCCTGTCACAAGCTTGTATTCAATGCGTCATGGCCTCGTGCTGGATTGATCTTCAGCCAATAAGACAAGCAGTGTGTTGCTCCAGCACAGACGGAGCTGCAACTTTTAACTGATGGACAAACTGCTTGACTCGACTGTGTGCGACTTTGGAAAACAGCAACCGGGCTGCGCAAGTGCGTTTAGATGCGTGAGTGCGGAAGCTCACTTGAGGCCCAGCAGTCAATGGAACAAGAGGAAGAAAGAAGTTGTTGCTCTATTATGTTATTATCCTGACTTCATTTGAGTTTATGGCAACCGCCGTGCGCGCTCATGAATGACAAGAACCATGACCCATGTTCAGGCTTCAAACATTCCGGTCATGCTGTCATCGCTGTGAGCCGCAAAGACACTGGCCAGAAGTGTGCATGCTGCTTGGCTTGAGATGCGGTTTTGCGCCTCAAGCCTGTCAGTAGCAATTGAGATTTTGTGAACCATTGACATTGTCAGCCTCATGTCAACTGGCTCGCCTGCAGATAATAAGAAGCGTCGGACAGAGACAGTGGTCGATTCCTGCAAGTCAGACAGTGTGTCGCACTGAATCAGAAGCCAGTGTGACAGTGTGTCAAATCAAGGAGACAAGAGAGCCTGAACTTCCTCAGCCTGAGGATGACTGGACTGACGCTCAGCCATGGGAAGTTGAAATGACTGAGCCTGAGCTTCAGTAGGGGAATGACAATGACGGGCAGTCAGATTTATCGGAGCTGGACTCGGAACTGGAATGTGAATATCGCCACCCCTGTATGGCAGAATGTATTCTCACAGATGTGACTCTCAGGGTCAAGGGCCGTGTGGGCATGATTCAGTGCCCCGGAGATCTGCGAGTCAATGGGGAACATGTGACCTTTGTTACTGGCATGCGTGGCGCATTGCTCATGATCATCAACGAACACCGCCAGACAAT